GATAAAAAGTCACTTGAAAATAGGCAAAATTTCACGAAGTCCACAAATGACCTATAATGTCTTCAAACTTTTGATGATCCTCCAAGCATAATTGACTTTTGTCATTTAAAGAGGGGTTGAAAAGGATGTTGATAATATTCATATGAAAAAAGAAAAATTCAAAAATATTGAGAATTGAAAGAGTTGTGATCTTTGGAACTTTGACTTGAAATGTTGACTTTTTAGGTCAAACTTCCTTGAATCAACTTGTAAACTTGGATTTTCCTTGCATTTTTTAGAGTACATGAATAATCATATAAACTCAAAATAGTGTTTCCTTTAATATCCTTTGATTAAATTGACCAAAGCTTGAGGTAATTTGTTGATAAAGGCATGGAAATAAACACAAAAACCTTTTACTTTTCTTAAGAGACAATCTACTAAACCTGGAGATATCTTTGATAAAAATGAGATTGAATGATGCTTGGAACCTTTTAATTTTATATTAGAAGCCACAGTTTGATAAGATAGCCCTTGGGAATTAGTGGTTGACCACTCTTTAACCTTGAAGGAGCAAAACCCTAGCTGATGAATCATGCTTGGTGTTCTTTATATATCACCCTATTTTGCAAAGAAACAAAAGGGTACGAGACATATTTTTGGAATTTTAATTAGTTATTAGTGAAACATAAAACATATAAATATAAAGGAAAAAGACACATAAAGAGGTGCTTGATAATCTCTGCAAAAGCAAACACAAAGATGAAAGGGTAAGAAAGCAACCAAGCTTGTGATCTTGATGCATTACGAGGATGCAAGTGAGGTGGGATCTTAGGGTTAAAAATTAGGGTATAAAAGATATAAGAGGAGGAAATCAATTGAGTTCCAGGTGGAAGTCATGTGGTTTTTTAGAGTTACCCCAGTAACCAGTGTTAATCGAGCCTTGAAGAATCAAAATCCCACTCCGCGTTTCATCGGTCCTTACTAGATTTTGCAGAGGATGGGAGAAGTAACCTATCATATTTCCTTGGTGAAGGTAGTGTGGGGAGGACCAGTTGGTGGAACGTAATTTGGGAGCTTGAAGAGCCATATGAGGGATTCGTATCCGAATCTGTTCACTTGAGAAAATTTTCGAGGGAAAAATTCTTTAAGTGGGGGAGAGTTGAAACACCTTAATTTTATTAATTGTTTTATTTTGAATTATTGGTGATTTAAAATGATTTTTGGTGTTTTATATAATTATTAGATGTTGGTGCGATTTAAAATAAGTTATCTGAATGTGTGTTGTTGGGGTGTGGTAGAAATAGTAGGGTGCGATGAGACGATAAAGCAAGTTAAGAAATGATTATAATAATTAGAATTTTATTTATTATTATTGATAAAATAAGAAATTAAAGAGAATAGAAGTCCGGGCCAACTGTGGGATTTGAGGAAAGTCTGTGATAAGAAGAGGGAAGCTAGAGTTAAATTGGGCAAAAATAATAATTAAGAAAAAGTAAGGAGGTTACTATATATTTTAAAAGTTGGGAGAAAAGCTAGGTTTTGAGAGATTTTTCCAGTACGTGAGATTGGAGCAAAAGAGGCAAAGAGGGAGATCAAAATCTTGAGGTTGAAAAAGAAGATCAAGGGCTTTTGCTGGAGATCAGATAAGGGTTGGAACTTGTTTCAATAGTAAAGGTTGGTTGTTGCATGATGAATGATATGGTGCATAAAGGATGAGATATGTGTGAGAGTCTTTTTGGTGAACCTTGTTATATTAATGCATGTTATTTGAGAGTCATTCATCTTGGTGTATGGGCTTCGGTCCAATTTTGGTGAGCCTCAATCCTATGGTTATGGATCATATGCGATTAGTTAATTCCTATTATGGGGACTAGTGAAGCGTTATCTATGTTGATGGTAACGAGTTTTGGCGAGCCTCGATCCCATTGTAATGGAACGAGTGTGAGTAACTAATTCTTATTATGGGGGATATAGGAAGTGTTATCTATGGTTATGGTAGCGGTTTTGGTGTATTCCAGTTACAAGAGGGAATAGATCCTATGGTTGGGATCATGGAGTGAGATGAACCTGAATGTTCATATTTGGTACTACATGCATGTCGAGTCAATGTTGAGTACATTGCATAAGTGTTGCATTTGTATTGGTTGTTGTCGATGTGTTGTTAGATGAGATGTTGTTGCATATGATGTTAATGATAATTGAGATGTGGTTTTGTAGGATGTTGATGATAATTGAGACTTTATCATGTATGATGTTGATTATGATTTGGATTTGAGAGTGTGCTATATTGTTATGCATGATTGCATAGATGTTGTACTCTACTATTCATTCTATACCATTTATTATAGAAATAAATTCCCACCCTTTCTATTTGAATGTTGTCTTTACATGGACATCATGTAGATACTCAAGAGTAGCATTGTTGAAGTAAGTGGAAGGTAGCTCTTGGAGTGACTTCTAATAGTTTGTCATTTTCTTTAGCAGGGTCTTGCTTTGACCATGTTACATCGGGCTGAGAACATTTTCTTTCACTTCTTATGTCATGTTTATGTTAAAGTATTATAACTGATGTGATTATTGAGATGATTTATTTAAACTCTTTAATTCATTATGGAAAGTTGAACTTGAGACTAAATAGTATAAGTGTAATATGGTTTTTAATTGCTTTAGTTATGATTTCGCTGCGATGATACCCTAAGTGAAGGTTAGCATACGATGACAGATGTTTATGTGAAATTTATGACCCGTGTTATGAAGCACGATATGTTTGATGTGAGTGACACCCTTTGTGGTTGCAATTTTATTAAATTATGCATTAAAATTGTATGTGGGGTTTAGGGTGTTACATGTGGTCAACATATGAATTACGTTTTGTTTCTTTTTGTTGTAATTCAATGAGTGAAATATATGCAGTGATGACATATTTGATGCAAATTGGCGTATTATTCAGCATTATATTTGTTGCATTTGATGTAAATTGCTTTATTGCGGCATGGTGAATTGATTGATTTTTGTTGCTTTTTGTTGTAAATTCAAATAGTGAAATAAATGCAATGACGATGCACACATGAATTTGAAACAATGAAATTATTAGTTCATTTAAGAGTGTGTAGTTCATATGTTTCAACCATATTCCAACCATAAATAACAAATGCATGCATTTCAAGAGTAACTAAATAACTCAATTGAGAATAAATTTTTTTGAAGCTTAGATGTGCATTAATATAAGAAAAGATGATCAAAATCTACCAAGCCAAATCTTAAATCTCATTATCCAAGGAAACCGATCTAGTACATCATGTTCCAAGACTAATAGTTAATGTTATGTCAAACGTCATGCTCACACCATCTACATTTCAATGTTGTGTCAAACTGAAAAGCCTGATAGTATTTACTTAAGTGTATATATGGTGATTGTGATGAACTATCTGGAACAGGTTCTCCATCTACTTCAAGAGTAAGACAACATCTTCTATTGTGACCAACTTCACATCATATACCACATGTTTGTGTCTGCTTACGTCTCCCCGATGTACCAATAATACTTGGTCCACAACCTTTGCTTTTTGAACATTAAGAGTTAAGTATATTTTCCAACTCCTCTGCAACATGTATGTTATCTAGAACATCTTTATTGTCGTGCTTCTATTTAAGCCTACTAAGTTTAGTAGTCAGATATTCTAAATATTTTTTGTAATCATCAACATCAATATATGACAAGTCAACAACCTCCTTACTAAGATTCACCAAATTAGCGTGTCTAGCAACCAAATGTGAATCCTAGTAGTGAGAACCATCTTGATAACTTCTACTAATTGACTCCTTCACAAATAATGACAATGATTGAACACAAGAGTCTTAGGGAATTCAATAATATCAATATATACCATCACAACAATAATATGCTCACATGGAATCCCAATAGATTCCATTCTAAGACATGAGCATCTGAAATCATCATTCGGTGGGCAGTGGGAAACACGCCATCCATGCCTTTCGTCTGATATTTTGTCACTGAGTAAGTTGTAAAGGATGCTATATTTTGAGTATCTAATACATATATTAAAAGGATACCTTTTTCATAACATATCGTACCATCTCAAATATTTCTTTTGTCCATCGTTTTGAAGTTGACCTCTCAAGCGCCCTTAGTCTGGTCTGTAACACTGCCTATCCATATTGGGATTGAAAATCAACTTGAACCTCTCTAAAGCAAAAATATTCCAAACATATATGGAACTGTTTAACAAAAATTTTCTTATTCATCTTTGAGTTTACAAACGGACCCATATGGCTATGAAATACTTTGCACCACTATGTAGCTCTTATTCCTGCAAAGAAATTTCCCTGAATATGAGTCATTGCCCACATCTTCCATTTCTGGTACAATTATTTGATCCAAATATTCTCTTATAAACCAAACCTATCTACCATATCATTCCATAGATTCTCAAATTTCCAAACATCATGATCACTAAGCATGCATTTTTTGAAAATAAGGATGAAATTGGGATTGCCAATGTTGGATATTGCATTTTGTAGGAGATGCCATGCACGTAACCTATGGTAGCTGTTGTGAAAGACTTTCTTGATTACATTTCTCATAGAAACATCACCACCCGTTATTACAGATATTGGTGTCTTACCTTTCATTGCAACCAAAAACTGCTCCAACAACCATACGTATGTCCCTTCAACCTCATTTGAAATTATGGCAGTAGCAAATGTAATCGTCTGGTTATGGTGATTAACACCAGAAAAAATAACAAACAGACACTTGTACTTATTTTTCTTGTATGTAGCATCAAAAGCAAGCACATCACCAAACAGTTCATAATTCTTTTAACTTTCAACATCGCTCCAAAATAGGTTTTGCATCATTCCATCCGCACTCACCGTGTGTGCAACAAACATCAGTGGATATTGAAAACAAAGATCTATAATATACCTAACAACACTTTTAGCATCATAAGCCATCTATTTTCTTTGTCTTGAATTATGATTATGTACGTCCTTCTTCAAAAATCCCACCCTATCATACCCCCTATAGCATTTGCAAATGCACCAATCATTTGAGTTACTTTAATTTCAGCACTGCCAAAATTCTTAATTTGTATCTTATTTGACTTACTAAGCTTCATATTAGTTGCCAACAACCTGCAGTGGTTCTCTTTTAACATTTCATGATTGTGCTCAAAGGTAAGAACTGTGATATACCACCTTTGTGAAATTATATCAATATGCACCCTAAATCTTGCTCCACGTCCACATCGAGTTTCATGATTCGGACCACACTTGTGTTGCTCTACTTTGTCTTGCCTAAATCCTTCAATGTTACAAACAAATTTTTGTTGAATAACATCTCCATTCTTATTTTTAATAACTTGACCTTTACGGACCTTGAAGTCCTTCTTCTTTGCAAACCAACAATAAAATGTGTAAGCAACTTCTAGACTTCCAAATTGCAGCTTCGAAACATCATCATTTTGCAAGTTAAACATGTCCATATTTACAATATCGTCGACATCGTCAATAACAAGTGATTAGTCTAGAATTTGATCTGAAAATATTGATTTGTTCAGAATATCTGAACTTCATTCCAAACATTCCCCATCAGTTCCATCATTGTTGGCATCTGTATTCCAAGATCCGTCTCCACGAACATCACCAGAACCAGACTCATCATCGTATTCACATCCATTAAATTTACCATTTTCATCCATATCTTCATAATCGTATTCACCTCCTACAAACTCAAAATATTCATCAACAACTACATTATCATATTTAACAATATCCAAACATCCATCATTAATAATATCCAGTTCACATCAAGGTTAACACGACCATTCTCATGTATAATCTCATTGAGTGCTTCCTAAAAAAATATAAATAACTAAATCAATAAGCAAATGGGTTACAACCACAAAGTAAGATTTATCAAAATTTTCACTTACATAGTTAGTTTGCATTACTTCATGCTCATCAACATCACCATCATCCATCTTCAATTCAATATCCCTATGATTCCCATCATATATAACAAATTTTAATCAATTACAAAACGGAAGAATATGATTGTCAGATCCATTTTTAACTCAAACTAAAAATTTACCTTTTTAATTCACTAAAATGAACTTCAAATCCAACTAAATGAGGAAGAAATCACAAAGGAAGAAATGATGATCAAAGAAATGATCTTCTAAGTTGCAGATGGAGACAATGGAAGAAACAAAGTTACAGATGAAGACAATGGAAGAAATGAAGTTGCAGATGGAGATAATGGAAGAAACAAAGTTGTAGATGGAGAAAGTGGAAGAAACAAAAAAGAAAGAAATGATCTTCCCAAGTTATAGATGGAGACAATGGAAGAATGGTAAATGGAAAAAGTGATGTGTTTGAGAGTAATAAGCTGCAAATGGAGAAAGTGACGTGTTTGATTAAGCGTGTGATAGTGCAGTTTATTCTTAGATCAATCCAATGACAATGACTGCTACTTATTTGAGAAGAAAAAAAAAGGTCTCTCACGTGAGAGACATATCCTACTCGCACTCAAGAGACGAGACCGTAACTAAGTACTAGTACTACTTTAATTATTCTTCTAATCAATAATTAACTAAGCTTAACTAAAAATTTAATCCAACTTTAGTTCTTAACAAAAGTAACTTTGTCAATTTGATAATAAAAAGTAAGTAAAAATATTTTGTGAATTTAGATCTTGGAATTTTAACCCATGTGCCACATAGTTGAAATTAATTTCTAGTACTTATAATAGACTAAACTATACAAATCATGACACACAACTCAAAAGGTTGTAATCTATAATCACTAGTACTATTTTAATTTATAGGAATTATAAAAAGTAAAAAGGTAGAGTTGCGGCGCGTGGGGTATAAGCGAGAGCAAGTAGCGTGAAATAATAGAAACCAAAACCCACACACAAATCCTTCCTCCATACCATGTCCTTCTCTTCCCATTCCATTCCATGTATTTGTAAAACCAAACATCTTACATTAACAACAAACCACCGCACCGCACGTTAACTAAACAAACCAAACCACTTTCTCGTAACTCTCAAAACTCTTCAACCATAAACAAACACACACACATTCATCATTCACCATCCACCATCATTACACCATGTCCCACTTTGACAAAAACCTCTCTTCCTCTTCCTCACAAGACGATATCTCCCTTTTTCTCCATCAAATTCTCCTCCGTTCTTCTTCCTCTTCCTCTTCCTCTTCCCATCTCATGCCTGGATCCATCCTATCAAACCCACTTCAACATGCAAACATCTCACCCCTTCATCCTACTACCAGACCAAACCCTTCCTCTTCTGTCGGAGGAGGACTCAGTGGTAACGACACTGATGAATATGACTGTGAAAGTGAGGTAGTTTTATATTTTCTTCATAGCGTCTTGGAGACAGGTTCTTAGTTTTTGATGAAAACAATAACTCGTTGTTTGTTTATGTGTTTTGGCTATGTTTCTGACACTGGTTGTTGACTGAGTTTGTTGTGTGCTCTAAAAAGAATATAACTTTGATTCTTGCTCTTTTTATAGTGGGATCTTTCTACAACATTTTGATTCTGATTAATTTGTCGTTTTGTTGCTTTTGTTGGGATTTGATTTTGGGTTTAAAAAAATTGTAATTTTTTTTGTGTGAAGGAGGGTGTTGAAGTGTTGACAGAAGAAGCTCCAACAAAATCTGTACCTTCTAGGAGTTCTTCAAAGAGAAGTAGAGCAGCAGAAGTTCATAATTTGTCTGAAAAGGTTTGTGTTTTTTTGTTTTTTTGTTAATTGGTGTTTGTTATTTTTAGTGTTCTTATGGAATGGATTTTTCTGGGATTTGTTGAGTAGAGAAGGAGGAGTAGGATCAATGAGAAAATGAAGGCTTTACAAAATCTGATACCTAATTCTAACAAGGTGCATGTGTTATTTTTTTAACCTTTGGTTTTAAAGGGTGTGTTTGTTTTTAATTCATTAGTATTATTATTCTTACTGTTGTGGATTGTTTGTTTCCATGTGTGTGTGACAGACTGATAAGGCTTCAATGCTAGATGAAGCTATTGAATACCTTAAACAGCTTCAGCTTCAAGTACAGGTTTGAATCTCTTTTTATTTACTGCACTTTTGTCCTAGTGCGAGAGTATGGGAGCTTCATTGTGTCCTAAACTTAACCAAGCATCTTCAATTTTTCACTTTTTACACATTATTAATTTGGTCCCACCATTACTCTCATTTTTACTTTTTACACCACAATCACCTTTTTCTCCATCCAATCAAGTAATTGACTGTAACCACTAACCACCTCTATTATTGGTGTTTGACACTGATACGCCGTTGGACATCAGACACGTCTTCAATCTGAAGTGTTTGTCTTACCGAGATTTATTTGTTAAATGTGACCTTAATGGTGATATTTCAGATGCTGTCATTGAAAAATGGATTAAGTTTGCACCCTATGTGCTATCCCGAAGGCTTGCAGCCTCTGTCGTTGTCTCGGTTGAGTATGGAATTGAGTGACGGAAACCGGTCTACCCCTTTAAACATGACATCTACTTTGCCTCATCCTCAAGACAACAACCCTCTGCTCTATGCATCCAATCTTCCTAACAAAAACACATTGACGAGTCAGCCGTCGATGTCCTCCTATCCTTCGTATGTTAACAATGCAGAAACTTCTTTTGCGGTGGAATCCCGAATCCCATCGCATAAAAGACCTCTTCAACAAACTTCAGAGGTAAGTCTATTCTTCGGACTGCTTATCATATTTAGTTAAATTTTAAAAGTATAATGTTAATCATTGTGACATGTTTGCCCGTGATATATAAAGGCGGTACACGGTGAAGACATGTTGCCGAACCAGACCCAGCAATCAAATGCAATCTATTCTGCTACCAATCTATTAGGTGGTTCTCAAGGTGTGGTGTATGTTTCTTGATTTACAATTCAATGTAACTCATTCTTTCTTATATACAACAATCTCATGCTTTTGCACCTAATGTAGGTGTCGAAGAATTTGAGTCAGGCATGATGGTTGCACCTTCTACTAACAACTCTTTGCAAACGTGTATCGCCGGAAGAGACCAGTCAGGTGCGATCATGAGAAGTAGCGGGCCAAATGCTATATTCACATCGCAGTTAAGTAGCTAAATGGTATCAGTAATTAGAAGACTGGAAAAAAAAACGATTTTTGAAGTTTGGAATGCTTCCAAAACTTTATTAATTTTACTTTCTCATAGAAATAGGTATCACTTAAGCATTTTGTGGTGTTGGAAAGTGCTAACAAGCTTCTGGCTTATCTGACTTGGAGATTAATTTATGCAGACATGATTAACTGATAATTGTTGTATTAGGTATATAAAGATTGTACTAAAACCTTTGATGATTTCAGCCTAAGATGATGTTTATTGCTTATGAGTTACTAGTTCATATAATCTTGAAAGAATTTAAGAGTTTAACTACCTTGAATGCAAGATTAGTGAAATCGTTGTCAATAATAAATGGAGATTAAGAAATCAGTTGGTAGGTTTCCATTTTAAACCGACACACTTCCATCTTAAGATTTAGAAAATGTATGGATGGGGGGGACCATACAAGCAATTCAGGTTACTCTCGGTTAATTACAAGAAAAGGATGACACAATAAATGTTCAAAATACTATAAGCATCAAAGGTTGTACTCTACCTTATAAAGTGTAGCTTAGTCTTGGCTTCCAAAACAATCAATTCTAACAGAAAAGGGATGTGCACTAGTATTCATCTTTGAATTAATGAGATAGATGATTTCAAAGGTGTTGAAAATGTGAGAAGTATTCAATTGATATTTATACATTCTTGGAAGAACCACACTTCATCCCCTCTGCAAATAGAGACTTGTGAAGAGGTAAAATATCTCCATTATCTTCTACCAATACAGTCAAGTACAGGATCTTAAGTAGGACCAGTCAGTTTATAAAAGATTATGAAATTCGAATAATTAGTATTATAAAAGATTATGAAACTCGAATTGTTAGTATTAGGGATGGTAAAGTCAAGTACGAGATCTTAAATAGAACCAGTCAGTTTATAAAAGATTATGAAATTCGAATTGTTAGTATTAGGGATGACAAAGTCAAGTACGAGATCTTAAGTAGGACCAGTCAGTTTATAAAAGATTATGAAATTCGAATTGTTAGTATCAGGGATGGCAAAGTCAAGTACGAGATCTTCAGTTTATAAAAGATTATGAAATTCGAATTGTTAGTATCAGGGATGACAAAGTCAAGTACGAGATCTTAAGTAGGTCAGTTTATAAAAGATTGTGAAATTCGAATTGTTAGTATTAGGGATGGCAAAGTCAAGTACGAGATCTTTAAGTAGGACAATTCGAATTGTTAGTATTAGGGATGGCAAAGTCAAGTACGAGATCTTTAAGTAGGACCAGTAAGCTTATAAACGATTATGAAACTCAAATTGTTAGTATTAGGGGTGACAAATCGACTTATAAAAACAATTTTATACTTCAAAGAATTTGTTTCAAAAAGTTTGAGCATGACACTCCGCCGACAACAAAAAGATATTTCTTTGATCGTAGCACTATCAAGCATTCTTAGCACGTAAAATACTAGTATCTTAGGATCCAACACTCAATCTTGACTATATTGTGGGTTTATCAACTCATAAGCATTCTTAGCACAATCTTGACTATATTGTGGGTTTATCAACTCATAAGCATTCTTAGCACGTAAGATACTAGTATTTTACGATCCAACACTCAGTCTTGACTATATTGTGGGTTTATCAACTCATACGCATCAATATCAATACAGATGCAAAGTTGATATGTGCGAAATTATGAGTAATAAATAGAGAGAATTTGAACACTTGTTAACTTGATTTACGAGTTTTCAATATCAAAAACCCCAATTATTAATTAAGTTGAGTTTTGTGAAGATAACAAGAGTTTTATGCATATTATTGTCAATTGTTAAACATTTTGTACGTTTTGATGCTATGATGCTAAGAAAAGAGCTTGGAAAATAAAGCAAGAAGCAAGGTCCTAAGAAAAGAGTTTGGAAAATAAAGCAAGACGCAAGGTCCTGCAAAACTCGCAACAGGGAGCTCTAAGCAAGTTCCAACGAGCATCCAACAAGGTTTGGCAGAAAATTTGCATATTTAAAAGACAACATTTTTGAAATGACTCGCTTATCGAGCCATATCTCGCTAAACGAGGATATGAGGTAAGGTAAAATTTGAGAATATATTAATAAAAGTATATTCAATTTTTATGAATATATTTTATACAAATGATTATATTATTATGGATTGATAGAAAAATTGAATCATATGAATTATTGTATATCAGAAATTTACAAAGCACATTTAAGAATTTCTTTAATATTATTTTAGAATTTAATTGTTTCTTTATATATAAATTTTATTTACAAAAAATTTAATTGTTTTATTAATTTTATAACACGTTCTCAGCACGAAATTTTGTCAAACCGTAAAAGAACAAAAATTGAAGCACTAACTATCAGAAGTAATATTAATTTATTAATTTATTATTTTTCTTTTTTATTATTTATTTTGAATTTTGATATTATACCTTATTAAATTATCAATAATTCCTAAAAAATTACAAAACATTGTGTTTGTTATATAGTTTCTAAAAAATTAACAAATATTCTTGAAGGATAGTAATGAATTTGTTATATAGTTCTTGAAAAATTTATCAAATATTTATGAAAGATACTATTAAATTTGTTATATAATTCTTGAAAAACTTATCAAATATTTCTTAAGAATAATATTGAATTTGTTATAGAGTTCTAAAAGAACTTTTCAAACATCTTTGAAGGATTGCAAATATTATTATTTTTTTATTAATAAAAGATGTGTGATTGAATTCATGAAGAAGTACATAAAAAGATTGTGATTGAGCTCTCGAAGAACTACCAAAAAAATTCGCTCTTAAATTTTTTCAGTGGTACTAGAGTTTGGTTTTGATTAAATCATTACATTCGAATATAATTTATGCATAATAATAATGTTTATATGTTGATATAATCATAATTATGGTAATATGTTTTTTTATTTGATTAAAATATGTCTAATCTCATTTAATTGAAGATGATTCAATTTTAATTCTAACTTGCTTTAATTTATTCACTCTTAATTCATTTTTCAAAAGGAAGTTTCGACAATTAAATATCGTAATATGTTTATTGACATAATATATTTATCGACGTGAATGATTGATTTTATTTATGCATAAAAATCAATATTGAATCATAATACTAAAATGGATATATTGTTTCTTTATATATAATTTTTTCAATACTATTTTAGAATTTAATTGTTTCTTTATATATACATTTTATTTACGAAGAATTTATAATATAGTGGTTTTTAAATAATAATATATTTTTATATTTTATTTTTATATTGTTCTCTTAAAATACCTTTTTATTGTTTTTTCTTTTAATTAATTTATAATAAATAGAAATATTACATTTTATATTATAACTATATTTTCTTTTGTTTATTTTTTTAATGAATAAATATTTATTTTTTTATTTCAATTTTTTATTTAATTATATTTCTTGCATAAAATTTATGGAGTTATTTATATTTGTTGAATAATTTTTCTATTCAAAATTTTATATACATAAAACCTAAGAAAATGAAGGAATGTGTTTTATGTACTATGTGATTATTAGCAAAATTAGAAACGGGTTGATGTATATATCGAAATTGTAATTAAATTGTATGCCATCAATTTTTAATAATATATTTTATACAAATCATTTTATTATTTACTATGAATTGATACAAATTAGAAGAATTGAATCATATAAATTATTGTAAACTAGAAATTTACAAACCCAACAAGTTGTCATATCTCTGAAACTTTATCAATTATCGTTTTTACATTAGTTACTTTTTACAATCAAACAAATTTACAATTCTCTACTTAAAACTGTATTAACTATTGAACGACATTAATTTCGCACTAGTATATGTGGATACGATAACAAAATACTTACTTTTGATTACTGAACATAAAATGTTGTCAGAAACTGACATTTAAATATTACAAACATCGCGACAATTTCTATCGCTTAAAGCAATTTTGCATTTGTTAATATTGTGTGTGTGTATGTGTGTATATATAAATATACTTTTACTCATCTTGTTGCTCACTTGTGTTGGTTAGGTTCATGATTTTTATTTATGCAAGTAAAACACTCGAAGATCAATTGCTTTTCGATCATGAAATTGACATGAGAGCTCGAAGATCATGATATTGAAGTTTCAAATTTCAATATCATTCAAACGAAATGCAAATGATCCACTGGATTACAGTTACGATACTCCATTTTAGCATGCATATTATTTAATTTGATATAAAATGTAGCTTAATTTTTAGCTTAGTTATTTTCTCGGTTGTTAACAATGTATGCAAATTGAGGTTGTGTTAGATTTTTTTTTTATATAACCATGTTGGAATGTTTTTCCATTCATGTTTTTTCGTTCTGCTTTTATTTTCCTATTTGTTGTATTTATCTTTATTGTGATAGTATTGTTTCTGAAATTTCATATATTCTTTTTGTCTTTCTTAGTTGTGCAATTGTGATGATTTTTGTGTATTTCATTTTGTGTCTAGTAGTAAGTAGTGTGATTACATGCAGTTGTTTTTACCATTTCATGCATTTTCGTTATATTGTTGTTCCCTTCTTTTCGATTTTTGTAAAGGGAGAGAAGTTTATGAGATATCTCAAATTTTTATATATGTTAAGTGTTGAATACAAGGGGAGCTTAAGAGCTCAATAACTTTGTGTTTCTCAATAAGGAATCAAATTATTTAAAAATATCTCAAATTTTCCAAACATGTTAAAGAGGGTGATTGAAATTGTCTCTGTCAGTAACAATGTGATTTCATATGTATATTTTGATGTATTTTTGATATTTTTGATTTATCGTTTGTTTTAATTTTTATTTGATCAATTTGTAGTTATTTTAGTTTTACACTTTTACCCATGAGCTCTCAACAATCCCTTAATCTCACATAGAATGAAACCATTGAAATATTTTTAAATTTTGAGCAAAATATCAAAAGTCAACTATTAATCCCAAGTTAGAAGTATTAAATTAAAGTGTTTTTAAAGC